CGTGTGTGCGTGTGTGCGTGTGTGCGTGTGTGCGTGTGTGCGTGTGTGCGTGTGTGTACGTGCGCGCGTGCGTGCGCGCGTGTAATGCAATTTGTTTCTCATTGTCTTGATTTGCGATAATATGCTGAGAATTTATACTGATGATCATGCGAGGTCATCTCATAATTAATCAGCGAAAAGATTTTAGAAACAAAACACAAGGCTACCGCAGTTTGACACTCTTTCTATTTTCAAGCAGAGTTAGCATGCATGCTGAGTGCAATTAACAGCGCATTTTATCATGACGGGGATTTCTACGCAAAGCCAAATGCAAACCAGAATGACGATCGTTATTCGATTTGCATCTAATAATTTCACTAACTTTAACTACGTGAGTGCAAATGGCTGCGTATTGTAATTAGAATGCATGTGGCAACGCACGCATGCGCGACAAAAAATAAACAAAAAAACACGAGCGAGGTGTCGACGCTTTTTGACATGTTTTGCGTTTTAATGCGAATGTAAATTAGAAAACATGTCGTTGACAGTTTCGCATTAGTATCTTTAGCATCGCCACGCATGTAAGTAGTTAAGTAAGTAATATATATTCAATCCCTCACATAATTTCACACCTGTTTCCATGTGTTTGAACGCGCCGTGTATATCGATTCTGTCAGGCGTATATGGTATTTATAGGATACATTTATCACATTGCAAGATATCGTAAGAAATATTTGTATGGCGGTTTTTTTCGCTCGACGAAGTATTCGCAGCATTCTTACAACTAGCGAATACAACTAACCACCTTATTTTGCCACTTCATCTATCGTGTTTGATTTTTCTGGCTCAGCGGCGTTGGCGCGCGCCGAATACGCACCGTGTGCGGGCTGGTTTACGTGCGCAGATGGCGCGCGCGTTTAGCTCAGCGCCTTCGGCGCGCGCCGAATGCGCACCGTGTGCGGGGGCTATAATCACTTTATTGGCGTGCGTTGACAAACGCGAGATATACAACGGAATTCGACAACCGATCATGCGACTTCTACTGCTTCTGCGCCACGTCATCTTGCTTCTATGAATAACGGATACGTTTTAGTGCTAAACTTACCCGCCGGTGGAATATCGAAAACAATGACACTTTGTATTTTTTTCAAATATATTAAAAACAAAATACAAAAATAGTACAAAAATAGAACGAAACGCACTTCCCGGAGTACGTAGCATGAAGAGTATAAGCGCGTTAACACTGTAGGGGAAAATCAGTGTTAAACTCTGAATCGTGTAAATGTAATAGTAGTCCTAGAATGTTCGCACTCACTTTAACTCGCATTTCGACAAGCCGTAGAAAAGGGGGCTGACACCGTCATACCCATAGAAATAAACATACACCTGCTCTATATGTATCTATTGCTGTGCTCACACAGTTCCACAGAGCGAATGAACTGCAAACCTATAGAAATAAACATATACGCGCTCTCTCTCTCTCTCCCGATATATATATATTTCTATGCGCATACCTCTTCTACAGAGCGCGAACGAACAACAAACCTAACGTGATTTTCAGAAAATACTTTCGCACTTCAAACACACTCGGTCGAGTTTTGCCAAGCCGCCGCACGTTCGCACTGGCTAATTATCCGTCGCTTCACTACGTAGACAATAGACCCCCTAATGATCCCCGCAATTAATCCCCCTCCTCACTCACTCCCCTTTTAAAAGTAAACAGCGTCCGTCACTCGCGGATGACAGACGTACGGTGGCAAGTCCCGGGGATTTACAAAAATTTTATTTACCCTCCCTTCCTTCCCCGCCCCTCCTCTCCCTCCCGCGATATTGTACGCTCCCCTGCAGGGAATTGTTAATCCTAATTGACAATCCATCTGCGCATGCGCGTTACCGATTACGGCGAGTTTATGTTTAGATCACGTCGACGTAATTGTGTCAGTAAGAAACTCGGAAAAAACACTTTGACGACGACGAAGATGACGACGATGGCGGCGACGACGACGACGACGACGACGATTATGATGATGACGACGGACGATGATGATGATCAATTTTTTCAAAAACTAGAATTGCGTGCAATTTACTATACGGGTATTCGACGGGAGTCTTGCCGCGCTCACCCGATGACGTCACACCGCTTCACTCCGCCTTCGTCAACATGCCGGCGATGCCACCTTTCGCGAAGAGCTTCAGAGCGCGAGTCTTCTTGTACACTTCTTTCATCTTGTTCAGATTGTTTCTGTCGACATGAAACTCGAGGTTACCATCGGTTATTTGATCGAGATGACAAGTATAGCCTGCCCGCGCCCCTTTACTGGAGCAAAGGGATATAATTGTGCACTTTTTTACGAAAGTATGAAAATGGGCACATATGTAGTCCAAGATATGTATATATACATTCTCATATATATATATATGATAT